TTCCCCGTCCATTTCTCCCCCCCCCCCCTCCAGCTCCGATTTCTCCACCTCCCGCTCCAATTCCTCCACTCCCGCTCCGATTTCCTTTTCCGAACCAAACAGACAGAGTAATTCAGGGGTAATCATTTCCTTTCCCCCGGATTCCCTTTCCTGTTTCCTTTCCCTTTCCTCAGCACGAACCAAACGCCCCCTAAAAGTTTATGCAGATGATCGTGGCACAATTGGCATGGCAAGAAGAGCTTATGAGGAAATACTCAAGTCTGATTCTTAGCGGTTCGCTCGAAGATAACTATGTTTAACATAGAGCATCTGCAAATACAAATACAAGCTTCATTCTTCATCATCTATCTGAATTGAATTACCTCCTCTCAGTTAATCGTCTGGTCGGTTTTGAGGGGCACTCAGGGATGGGGTTCATCCTTTTTACGTTTTGGCAGCGACTGATATTGAAGGCACGCGTATGATAAATCGAGATGAAGGGTTGAAGAGATGAGATTGAGTTGGCCCGTTGACATATGATTTAAAGAGTAAATATAAGATTTTACCCTGAATAAAAAGAATTATGGACACTTCAAAAACACATGAAAAAAAGTTTATGATTGGAGATTGTATTTTCATTTATCATTTGATATAATTTATTGAGTAAATTTTATATGTATTTTTTAAACATATAAACTTAATTTTCTTACTCCATATTATATATTCTTCCTTCCCTCTTATATATTTTCTTACACTTTTCTTTTTTTGATCTCAAAAAAATTTTACACTAATAACTTTATTTCCTATTTTGGTAATACCTAATAAGTACGTGACTTTCAACAATTTTCTCTCCTCAAAGTAAATTATAACCACACACTTTTTACATTTTAATAATTAATTTAACTCCGAGAATTTAAAATATCAAAATTGTTATGGGACAAAGAGAATAAAATTTATTAAATAAATTGAAAAAAAATCATTCAAATGTTATTATTCCTAAACCGTATCGTAAACATTCAATTTTGTGAAAATGTAATTTTTTTACTTTATGAAAATGTATTAAACATATCATAAAGAATGCCACAGTTACTATTCTGGCCTCTCGATAACTTTTGTTTATTTACTCGTTTTGGTTGACCATTTGATAAAATAAAATATTCTTGTCGCATCTTATTTTGTAGAACTTTTCATATGCTTTTGAATGGTGTAATTTTTACTTTTTATTACTCTACCAATTTGAAATTAAAATAATTTTAAAAGAGATGATATTTTGCACGTCGTTCGAAGTGTTGCAAATAAATTGGGACGGAGGAAGTAGAACTTTTCTTCAATTGTGACATAAGAGTGAATTATCGTCTCACTTCAAATAAGTTGTGATATCAATTCGGAACGTGGGGCATTACGTATAAGGGCTAAGGGTATCACGAGTATGGAAAATGAGCCGTATCAAAGCCTAATCAATATGATATCAAAGCCTCTTGACTAAGATGTCACAGGTTCAAAATTCATTGTCATCCATTTTAAAAAATTAAAAATTTTACGTGTAAGGCTTGAAAAAACTATTTCTTCACGTGAAGAGCCTATTACTATATAAAAATCTTTTCTGAACTACAACCACAAGCTGAAATTTCTAGCTTAGTTGGTTTCTTGACAAAAACGTATAATTTTTTGTAATTTTTTGTATTTGTTGGAATAGTGCTTACAATAAAGCTTCTTGTACACGGTGCACATAGAGGTATTATATACTCCCTCTGTCTTAATGTAATCGTCCAGTTTGACTCCTTCGGATCAAAATAGACGAACTTTAATCATCAATTACTCTTAATTTGTATTGCATATTAATATAATTAATTAAAATTTTAAAATTTTTAAACAAAATAAATCAAATGAAATAATTTTTATACTAAAAATATTAGCATTTTTATTTAATTAAAGTCCAAATCTTCTATAGACACGGTACAAATTTTGGTGAACCCTTGTACATAACGTATAGTCGTTATATATGCACCTTTTCCCTCTCCTACCCCTTTGTCGGCTCGCCCTGAAATATTTCTCTTCAGAGAGCCCTTTCTCTCTCTCTCTCTCTTTTCTCTGGTAATCTGTCACAGATATCTCTGCCATTTCACTAACCTCCTTTCTTCTTACCAAAGTTTCTACTGAATTAATCTTCATGGAAAAAGTGAAGAGGCAAGGGGCCGGCGAAACAGGGGCCAACGCCGCTGACTCCTTTAAGCGGCGCAGAATGTCGGCGATTTCCGAAGGCGCCGCCCAGGCGGAAGGCGGCGGAGATACCATGGCGTGGTTAATCATCGACGACGAGGCAATGACGGAGCTATCCGAGCTCCTGGACACGGCGGAGGTGCCGCCGCATGACGAGGGTTTCAGAGTCCGCTTCATCGACGATCCCTATTCGCCGCCGGTGCTCTTCCGGTCGACGGCGTACGTCACCATCGACGTGAACGAGGAGTCCTGCGGCTCCTCTTTCTCCGACTTGGAGTCGTCCGTGATGGCCAGCATCGACATCGGCGGCGGCGCCGGAGGGTGGTTGAGGAGGGAGAACAGATGCGCGTGGGGTAGCGACGCGGGCGCGGCGCGTGGGTGGGTGGTGGAAACTGATTTTCCGGAAACGGAAACACCTACCGTCAAAGATATGGACGAGCGCGACGGGTCATGCATTTGGGTCAACGGCGCGGGAGATGACGACTCAATTTGGGAGAACTTTCTGGGCGAAATCTGAAAAGTTATTACTTCTTCTTTTGCTTTAGTGGAGGGGGTCCTATGTAATTAGCAGAAAGTAAAGGGGTTACATGTAATTTTGTGGTTCTTTAGAGTGATGTCAGGGTTTAGTGGATTTTTGCAGGGGTTATTTGGAAGTAGTGTGATGTTGAAACTTGAAAATGACGGAGAGGTCTCAAAAAGCAAAATCAAGTTTGGGTAGGGACTAGAAAAGCAAAGCGGATGGAACGAGGATCATTTGCTTGCTTTGTCTTTTTGACAATTCCATGCTCCCTCTCCATTTTCAATTTTTTTCCTTTTAATTGCTGATTTTTTTATTAATTTATTTAAATATTGGTTTAAAATTTAAATATACTCCATACATGTAGAATTTAAAAAAGTTAAAATCATAAAAAAAAATGTTGAATAAGAGATGTATTGCTTACTACGTATTTTGTTTTAAAAAATAGATAAGAAAATGTATAAAACATAAGTTGATCACTAAATAGTAAATGAAAAGATTATTTAGGGGGTGTTTGTTTTTTCTGCAGGAAAAGGTCTGCGGTCTGCGGACCACTACTGTAGACATCTGCATGAGAAGTGGTGGACTGAATGTCTGCGGTCTGCAAGAAGAAGACTGTTTATTTTTTTAATGTCTGTAGACTGCTATATAAATTAATGGTGGTAGTGTACGGTGGTGGTGTATGGAGGATTGTGGTGGTGGTGGAGGGTGGTGGTGGACGTTGACGGCGGTGGTGG